TTTTCCACTTGTTATCTCTCTCATATATATATTAAACAGAAGCACCTATATAACCAAATCACGGCTGTGACTAACACCACGACAGAAAGCTGAGTTTTACACAGCACTTTAGGAATGAAGAAATTCAGCTTTAAGTATGACTTGCTTAGATGTAGGATTCTGGATGAATGGGAATGCAGTGTATGTCCCAGAGAGGCATTCTTCAACAGAAGAATGTTCTGCTAAAACATTTAATAGCAATAACAAAGTACATTTGATTGAAAACTGTAATGAGATCTGTAGGGAGATTTGTAAGACTAGACCAAAATAATAAAACATACTTACAGTCTTCTGGATAAACACATTTAAGCGTGACCTCGTCAAGGATCATGTTTTTAGGACAGTATGGCAAGCATCCTTCAACCCTTTAAAATATTACATAGTTACATCTAAAGCAGAAGTGGCACAGTAAAAATATAAATTATTTTTAAGCTAGTGCAGTTTGGCAAAATGAGACATTTCAGTGTGTTTCTGCCACAGCTCAGAGAAATCTGTAATGTAATGAAGAACACACAGTGTTTTGAGGTATAATAAGGTCAATAAGACATTGAACAACTTAACTTTGTTTCTAAATTATTAACAATCCATTCTTTATACATGATAGTTTTGGAACATTCTGCTTCTGACAACCCTGTGGGAGTTTAGATGTCTAAGCAAGAAAGTTGCCAATGAGACAAAGAACTTCAAGACCACTGCTCAGATACGTACATCTGAGACATTATTTACATTGACTTTAAAGGAAGTTTCTAAGTCTTGTGTATCACCACAGGGCAGGAAAATGCAAACAAGTCCATATCTTCTCCTCTGTTTATGTATTTTTAATGAGAAAAATCATTAAATTAACAATCAGTGTACCTATCTAGACAAAAAGTTATGGAAGACAACACAGGAAAAATGTTTTAGGAATCTATCTAATCTGGAACAGAATATGCACAGGGAGGCATGCTGAAATGAAAGTGTCTTTTCCATCAGATTTTGTGCCTTGTATTTTAGACAATTTTTATTTTAGTTGTTTTATAAATATTGTGTTTCCTTAGATGTCAGAGGAGTTACTTGAAGACCAATAATTTTATGATTACTAATAGCTAACAAAATAATACCCACAATGCGAAATCCCTTACATCACACAAACCTACATCTCTAGAGATAAAAGTCTATCTTTTTACAGGAGATGGTGTAGTTCACCCTTACTATTCCTTCAAGTTTTGATATGTCTCTTAAATACCAGAAAGATGAAATCTATTACAGCAACATGGTTTTCTGGTGTGAATGAATATATCATCAATTTTCATTAAATAGGTGTCCAGATAGCACTACTAAGAGTTTATCAGCTAGACTAAAAACAAACTCATTCCCTTTTTTTTTCTACTTGTGTCTAAGGATTTCATATAAACAGCAATAACTATCAGGAGGAAACAGGACACCTGTTACAGTTTCACACGACTTGTGAGATTTGTTTAATTCTTTTTGTAATGTTATTGAAATCTGGACGAGTAAAAATTAATGAATACCACAGCAGCAGCCACTTTCAGAAAACATACGATACACATATTACATAAAACAGTACTGAATACTAGCAATACTGAATTTAATCTGACTTACGGAGGAAGAAATTTACATGCTAGTCCTTCAGGATCACTACATGTTTTAAAACAAGGATTAGCACAAGGTTCGTATCTCCACTCACAGATCCTTCTGTAAGGCACAGATGCACTGAGTTCTAAGAAATAAGCAAAAAGTATCATTTATGCACTGTGTAGTCAATAAACTATAAATTTACAGTCTTTTCTACAGCGTACATTGCGATGTGAAGAAAAATTAAATACTGAAAACAATGCACCAAAATTCCCAAAAACTTCCAGAGAGATGAGATTTTGTTCATTTGAATAAGAATTTCAAATTCAACCCAGTTAAAACATACTGAAGCATCAAAGGTAGAAACAGTCACTCATTTTTCACAAAATATTTTGTTTAAAAAATTTTAAAAATAATTAAACATAGGTCATGTACTATTGGCTTCAGGAGCAACAAAGTCACATCATTCATTTACTAGAATGGATAATCTGTTGCTCAAAAACAGAACATTAATACGCATATTTTTGTAACATCGTATATTCATTTTGAAGGAATTAATGACAAAAATGCAGTCCAAAGATGAAGTGAACTTCATACCGGGAAAAATTTGGAAATAACATCTGGAGGCGGGATGAAGGAGAAGGAGAGAATAGTAATGAAAAATAGGAGAAAATGTATTTGTTCCTATTGTTGATGAAAGCAAATTTATCTGAGGATTGCCTACAAATAGATACATTTTACTTATTCCTGGGGATTACACAAAATTTACCTTCAATACTAAAGCTGCTTGAATGCTTGAATTCTTCTGAATCATCATACTTTGCCACTTTAACACCGGATGATATGAGAATGATGAAAAAGCCTTTTTTACTGTGCATTTCAAAGGCACTGAACCCTGGTCTCCAGAGGCCTTGGTGGTGGAAGAATGAGGCTTGTCTCCGGAAGGCGGCGCTTGCCTGCCACTGTTCCAGCCCAACGCTCTCATCCTCGTACACGTACACAAAGAAGTTGGGTCTTTCGGCAGATTCAAGGGAAACGAGAGAGAGAGCTGCCGCGAACAAAATATAAGGCTGTTATCAGTAACTTTTCACAGAATAAAAAGCCTAAAAGCAAGATTACAAACGGCACGCTGGCTGTTAATCAGCTGCTTTCAAACAACTGCTTTCAAAAAAAAATCCACTTTTACATAGCATACAACAGTTAAAATTGCAGACTGTAAGGGAAGTTTCCAATAACATAGTCCAGTCCCCATAATCAGTTAAACTAAATAATCAGTTAAACTAAAGATACATTCATACAATCAGCCTTTGACATAATTCATAAGCAGTCTCAAATTTTGACATTCTCAAAGTGTGACAGTTTCCTCTCAAATTCAGACAAAAGTCTAACAATTTAACTGTGTCAATATTATGTTAATTAATACGATCACGCACATTTTGTAAGAACAATCTTGACTTCACCTTGAGGTCAGTGTTTTATATATACAGCTATTTCCATGAATACTGCAAGAAAACCTGTGCCCATACACCAAATATTTATGTTCACTCTTGCCTAAAAATTGAAAGTGAAAAAATATTCTGAAAAAATCTACATTTAAAAGACAGCTGAAATTAATTTTGTCTGTCAATTTGAATAAAATCTTTGAGTTCCTTTAACTCAAAGATATATACTGTCTCATTTTCATATCATACAGATATGAAAATACTTCTGATCTGTCTAGTTATAATATACTTTACTTACCTTACTTGCATCTGTTAGAAAATTTCAAAAATTTCACAAAACTTCATTAATTTTTCTATCTTATACACTTTCCATTTTTAAAATAATATCTAAAAAGTTAATACCTACACTGGAAAATTGTCAGCTGCTTCCGAATATAGTTCAAAATTTTTACAGCCCTTCAAGGTGTTGATTTTTGAGAATTTGGGTTTTTTCAATAAATTACACAACAGAACACAGTCTACCAAAAGCAATGGCAAAGTCTTTATTGACTTCAGTGGCACAAACCCAACATGCAAAGAAACACAGAAGAAAAACTACTTAAACATATTTGGCTTTGGTGTATACTTTGGATATGTCTCAGATAAGTGAAAAACTGAGCTCAGAAATACCTGTTAGCTACAGCAAACTTTTCTCTATATTGTCTTTAGATGCTGCACAACAATCACATAGGAAACAGACTGGACTTCTAAGCTGAACATTTTATAATGTACCAAAACTCCTCCAAAATAAATGATACAGCCAAAAAGGCTCTAGTGGAGACAATCATATTGCTGCATTCATCTCTACCTACACATGCAAGCTTTCCTATATCCAGCTATATAGTCTAATTACATTTTTCTCACAAGGGAATTCTATTCAACTTCCATTTGGTGACATTTCTAAAATAAACTTTTAAAACTGAGCATTAAAACTGGCAGCTAGATTTCCATTTTTTTCTCAAAAAAGTCATAATTCCTCCTCAAAACTAGAACGTTCACTTCCCACTTGTGGTTAAGATGCTTGAAAAAAAATGATTCATATAGTCTGAAAAAAATGAATTGCCCTTAAAAATGTTGAGAATACTTACAGAGATCTTTATCTTTGAAAAGTCCGGGAGTTATCATGAAGCTAAAAAATACATTTCCATATGCTCCAGTTCTAGGCAAGGGAAATATCCTTCTACTGGATATGTTAGCTCCTATAATTATATCATTCTGTCCATAACTTGCCAAAATATATGGTCCCTCGCCAAGCCCTAAGGGAAGAAAAGTCCAATTTAAAAAATATATATATATTTGCACAGCATACAAAACCTAAGTTGTAGTGAAAAGCATATATTGCTTTAAATATTTCACCATACCTCGAATCAATTAAGTTTTGAACTACAGCTCAATACCTTAAGGTATTATGCTGGAATATGCCTGTGTCTACCTGTTTAATATACTCCCTTATTCTTTATTTGATGTCCTGTGAGGACAGGAAGAGTGAGGATAGTTATCTTCAATTAGGGACATATAAGAGAAAGTAATGCTGCTTCTTTATGGTATCTGGTCTTTTACACGTTCTTATTTCTTTACACTGGAAGATGAACTGAAGAACTAATATTGTTGTGCACAAATAGGCATTGAAGCTATAGCTTTCGTATTATAAGGTTGTGATTCAACTTTTGACAGCAATAACACTTAAGCATTTGCCTTGTTCATCCTCTCCCACAAACCACTTGCTTCTTTCCTACTGTCCCACTTATGCCATCCCAAGAGATCCAGCTGAATAGCAACCAACTAAATTTTCCAGTCTGGTTCACAACACAGTCATCCAAAAAAACATGCAAATGCAAGTGGCAACTGCTTTCACTTGTAGCACTGCCAAAATGTTTGCCAAACTACACCCGCTCTTCCCACAGCAATAGTAAGATCATTCAGTATAATGAGGCCACTGACTCCCACCCATTAAAATTGTACAAGTCAAAATAGAGCTAGAAAAATCCAATCAATGAATTCAATTGGATTCTTAATCGAACCAGAGAAATCTCTTTTGCATATGCTCAATTTCAGAAAGAAAAACAAAAAGTAAGCCCCTTCAGAAGTCAAACCTAGAAGGTAATAATTCTGTGTGAGAAATGTTCATAAAGTTTGAGAGTTTTCTATTTTTGCTAAAAATAACACCAAATTAATTATTCAGTCATTAAATATTAAATATATTTTCACTGTTCATTTTTGAAGAAAAATGCTCCACCGTTTCACCATACCAAAACCAGTTAGTTCAATGAAGTGGAAAATAAAATGGTAATAGCCAAATAAAAAAAAAGGTGCAAGATGGACACTAATCTGTCAGTATTTGAATCCCTTACTAATGTAGCACTGTCTCTTCTTTATATTTACACACGACAAACCTCATGCAATACATGAGGCACATGAATATGGCACAGAGAAGGAGTATTTTTAGATATCCATCTAAAATATCCATCTATCCATGCTGTTGAACAGCAAGAACTCACTTTTGAGGAATTATTTGATTTTTTCATTTACACACAAAATTATATATGTGACAAGATGTTTTGAATCACCTTGAGCCATTCTTTTTCCTCTAAATGGTCCATGAAACAGTCTCAGAATCAATGAATTAGGACAAAACTCAGAAAGTTAACAATAGGAGCCCCAGTAGCATCCCCAGTTATCAACTACATCTTTCATCCTCCTTCATGCTGTTTGTTTCGACATCCTGCATGAGCAATACCCTGTTTTAATTTACTTTATATTGTTGTATTACACCAGCAAACACCCACAAGTTGATTTCTGTATGAAGGCAGTGGTAAAAAGTATTTTTGCCCTATGGAATTCAAGATTACATAGGCCGTGTCCATGTATGTACTTCCTTCCAGTGAAGTTTTACTGTCTCTGAATAGGCAGAAGACCTTTTTGTGGATCAGAGGTCAGGTTATAAAAAAATCAGTGTAAGAGCATAATGATATTAAATGGGCAAGTAAAATTTGCCAAATGACATACAATACTCTGGTCTCATGCAAGTCATCACTCCTTTCTAATGGACTTGAACGTTCAGTGAACTCAGGGCCCTGTGACTATGTAATATTACCCTGGGGAACAGGGAGCAATGAGGCAATCTCCAACACTGCTAGCAGCTAACAGAAAGTCTTCTCAATATAATCCACGGGGCATTTTATTTTTGAAGTGGAAGGCATCGTGTTTCATGGGAGATGCCAGATGTGTGGTTTTGCTTACAGCTAGGATGTTTGTTTCTATGCAACCACTGTCCCTGCACACGCAGCAGAAAGAGCCAGGGGACCTGCTTTGCCAACATACCCAGAACAGGAACACTGAAAAACCATCCTGACCCATTGCAGAGAGAAATTAGCAAACCATATTTTCTTCCAAGGTTAGTTTGAGTGAATCAATTTAAGAGAAGTTCCTATTGGGATTATTTTTTTTTTAGTTATTTTTACTTCTCTTTTTTTTAAAAAAAAAGGAATAAAAATATAACTTTGAGAAAGCAAAATTACAAAATAGCATATTGTAGAAAAAGAGAATGTATATCAAAGACCTCTTCCATTCTCTAGAGCAATCAGCGTTCAAACAATTAGCATATAGTGCACCAGGTGATACACTACAAAATATGGATGCTAACTTCAACAAGCTATATAAAAATGAGGATGAATCAGACATACATACCTTGATTGTAATATTCACAGTCATAAGCTAAAAGAAATAGAAAATATGCATATTATGATTAAAAAGTAGCAGTAAAATTCATGTGTGCCAGTATACTGAGATCCCAAAAAGCTAAAAAATATATATAATATAACATAACATAACATAATATAATACCATTCCAGTGACAGGACAAGGGTTAATGGGTATAAATTAAAACACAGGAAGTTCCACCTCCATATGAGGAAGAACTTCTTTCCTGTGAAGGTGCCAGAGCCCTGGAACAGGCTGCCCAGAGAGGTTGTGGAGTCTCCTTCTCTGGAGATCTCCCAAACCCGCCTGGATGCCACCCTGTGTCCCTGCTGGAGCAGGGGGGTTGGACTAGATGATCTCTAGAGGACCCTTCCAACCTCAACCATTCTGAGATTCTGTGATAAAATAATATATCTTCTTAATGTATTTGAATTAGTGACTTTCTCCTTAGGCTTTTATTCAGTGATATATAGCTGTATTTAGTTAGGTGTGCCAGGACAGCAGACCTGAAGCACTAGTTATTCTATAGCTGAGGACTGATGTCATTATGAATTAAAAGTGAAATGCACTAGACCTGCCTGAAATCCCACGTAGCATTCTGAAATTTCCTCAAATCTTCTACTCATTTGCATTTTAAACAACCTCCATGCTAACATACCCCAAACACAGCTAGTCTCTTCACAGCTAGTAAGAAGGTAAATTGAGGTGTACAAGACCAATAAGACCACAACTTGAAAATGTGAACAATACATATGTTATCCAGCTGCTCCTGTCTCATTTTAAGGCATTTGTAACATGGGACAGCAAAAGACCAAAGCTACCCCTTTCTCTGGAGGAGCTCAGAGCAGGTACATACCACAGAGCGTAGGAGACCGCCAGTGAATGGCAGCCCCTTGCTGGCAGCACTTGTGAGCGTAAGCTGCAATACTGGTACACAAACACTCGCAGTCCCCTCCAAGATTGCAGTTACACGTATCTGTATGACAGTTTTTGACAAAGGAAGTGACATCAATCTGGGGAAAAAACAGGAGAAGCCAGATGAATCAACTGCATGACATGCACAA